TGGGAGACCTCGATACGAGATTCCGTCGATCCACCAAGCAATGACGTCCTAATGGATTTTATATTGAAGCAGATCCTCACGCTTAACACCGTGCAACCGAGCTCCGCCGCGAAATCCGCCAGATCGGCTAAGTCGCACTTCGCTAAAACCGCTTTTGACTCCTCGAGATGCGCGGTATGCAAGGGCAAGCATTCTATCATGCAGTGCTCCCAGCTCAAGACGAAGCCCGCGACTGAAAGGAAAACCATCGTGGAAACAAGCAAGCTTTGCTACAACTGTCTCGGTAACCACTTCCTGGCCAAATGCCAATCGGCCAAAACCTGCTTCACCTGTAAAGCTAAACACCACACTTTGCTACACGAAGCGTATACATCCGCCGACGGAGCAAGTTCTCTCTTCGCCACCCGACTCGCGTCGGACCGCAAAGTGATCCTCCTCGCCACCGCACGCGTCACCATCAGCAACCACATGGGAAGACCTCAAAGACGTTCGGGCACTAATCGACCAGAGATCATAAGTCTCTCTGGTCTCCGAGGCCCTGGCTCAGCGCCTGCGCTTGTCGCGAATCCGTTTCTCAATGTCCGTCGCAGGCATTTGGAGGAGCGTCCGGAACAACTCGCGGTAAACTTTCGTTCAATCTTTCCTCTGCGGTCACAGGAGCATCTTATCCCGTCCTCGCGTACGTCCTGCCGCGTCTCTCATCGTACCAGGGACCCATATTGCGAAACAGCTACACCTGGCCTCATATTCGCGGCCTCCCGCTGGCGGACCCGCAATATCTCGATCGAGACCCGATCGACTTATTGCTCGGCGCGGACGTATATTCCGCCATCATTCAGGATGGCATTCGCAGGGGGCGCAAGGACGAGCCCGTCGCTCAAAAAACGTCGCTCGGATGGATCTGGAGTGTGGCCCTGTCTGGAGGTCACAGGGCCACACTCCAGAGCAGCCCCAGCACTCACCAATGCTCCGTCGACCGCAAGCTGAACGACCTAGTTCAGCGGTTTTGGGAACAAGAGAAGGAACCTTCCGCTCCTGTCGCTCCAACTCCAGAAGAACAAAAGTGCGAAGAACTCTTTGTCCGTTCTTGCCGCCGCACGCCATCAGGACGGTACGTCGTAAGGCTGCCGTTCACTGGGCCACCGCCTTCTCTACGTGAAACCCGCAAGCCAGCCGAATGTCTGCTCCACTCTATAGAGCATCGCTGCTCGAAAGACGCTCACTTTGGCAGTCTGTACCGCTCCTTCATGCAGGATTACGAAAACCTGAAACACATGGAGGCAGTAAAAGCGACCACAACAGAAAACACCGCAGTGTGCTACTTACCGCTGGAGTGTCCTACCATGGAGTGCTGCGGGACATCAGCACCACTACCAAACTCCGAGTAGTATTCAACGGGTCGCAACGTACACAGTCCGGCACTTCATTAAACGAGCACTTGCTCGTCGGAGCCAACCTCCTGCCACCCCTCGCCGACGTCCTCTTGCGGTGGCGTTGGCACCGTTACGTATTTCTGGCGGACATCGAGAAAATGTATCGCCAGATTCTCCTTGATTCAAGGGTCCGCGACTTCCAACGCATCTTCTGGAGACACAACATCGCTGACGAAGTAAGCGAATACCGCCTGAAGACCATGACATACGGTCTAGCGTGCTGCGCGCCATTCTTGGCAATTCGGACTCTCCACCAGATCGCCATGAAGGCCCTCAATTTTCACACGGAACTGTCGCGCTGCGCCGCGATACTTACGTGGATGACATCGTTACGGGAGCCAGTATCTTGCCGGAAGCCACCTCACTCCAGAAAGAACTTCGCAGCCTGTGCACGGCGGGCGGATTTCCTCTGAGGAAGTGGGCAGCCAACCACTCGGACATCCTGGCTGGAATACCACGGAAGCACCAGCTCACCACATCTCCTCCGTCGTGATCACAAGCGGAGCACTCCACACTGGGATTGCACTGGCATCCAGCAACCGATCACTTCACTTTCTCAGTACAGGCACGTCACTTCGAGGAACTAACAAAAAGGCGCGTCCTATCCGAAACCGCTCGATTATTCGACCTACTGGGGTGGCTCACTCCAGTTACCATGAGGGCGAAGATCCTCATTCAGTCCGCGTGGCTAAAGAAAATGGATTGGAACACACCTCTTCCACCAGCGGATGCACAATCCTGGAGAAACTTTCTCTCCGAGCTTCCACGTCTAAATGAAGTCAGAGTCGCTCGCTGGTTAAGCAGCGACAGACCGAGCACAGAGCTGCACGGATTCGCCGACGCCTCAGAACGAGGATACGCCGCCGTCATCTACTTCCGCGTCATTACACAGGGGAATACCATACTTCACCTCCTCACAGTCAAGGGCAAGATTGCCCCGGTGAAACCAGTGTCGCTGTCGCGACTCGAGTTGTGCGCCACCGCACTCCTGGCCAATCTCGCGGTTCACACCCGCACCGTCTTAAATCTGTCCACAGCGCCTGTTATCCAAATAATGAGAACCAGAGAGAGAGAAAGATATCCCTCTGAAACATATTATACCTAAAAAAACAAACAAAAATGGTAAATTACTTCTAATTTATTTATTCATTATACTTATGAATGATTCATTTCCTGCAGGTTGCTTCAAAGATTTGCTTTATAAATGTAGAGATTGTTTTATAAATGTAGAAATGTTGAGATTGTTTCTAATAGTGTGGCACATTAAAAATGGACAAAAAATAAGTTAGAAAAACTACTACATACTAATTTATTGATAATGAGACAAATCCTGAAGTAGACATAAGAAATAATTTACTTTTCACAGATTTGTAAATATAATCTAATCACTGATATAAATATAATGTTGTCCTTACAATTGCTATGTGGACAGACAACAGCACGCTAGCATTACTTACCTGTTATGAAGCAAGAAAGGAAGATCTCGATCATCCTGTTAAGAGAGGGAAAGTATGGGCATTGATAGCTAATGACCTTTCAGAACTCTGTTACAATGTATGTACTATTAAAAATTCATTTTCCTAAAAATCTATGAAAAATTTTTTGTAACTTACTAAATGCATATTACACCATATATATATTATTGCAAAAATATTTTTCCAGTCTTTATGTGAATATGATGTCTTTAGGCATTTAATTTATATGAAAATATAATTGTATATAAATTTTATTTTTATTTCCAAGCATGATTTTGTTATTTTTTTATTTTGTTACATTCATGGTGTAAATATGTTGTTCTAAATTGCACATATTTTTAAATATCTGTTTTATTTACTTCATTACTTTACATCCGAAAGTACATGTATGTATGTATATTATACCGAGGTATGAAATACAAAACAGATATCGAAATGCATGTGCAATTTAGAAAAATGTAGCTTTGGTAAGTTACATAATACTCAGGGATGCATACATATCTTTGTTAATTTTGATTATATTTTGAAATTATAGTTTTCTGCAGAACAAATAAGATGAAAATTTAATACGCTTATTCGAAAATATAAAGATTGCGTAGATAATAATAAAAAAACTGGTGCTAGTCTTATGACATTTAAATTTTTTGACCAAATGGAAGATATTCTTGGTGATCGGAAGACTGTACAAGGTCAAAGTACAATATCATCAACTTTCGCTAATTGTAAGAAGAATCCAAAATTAAAATCAACTATGCTGCCGCAAAGCGATACATTCATAGCGCGAAGCGATTCCTCAATTGGTGATGAAATTTGTGATGAATTACCGAGCACATCAAGTAGTGTAAATACCAATAGTGCTAAAAGAAGAATTTATGAAAATCTATCAAAATCACGCGGATTGGATAAAAATAAACAAGCTATCAAAAAGATGGAATTGTCAAATACAAAAACTGAATGTTCTACGTCCGTGAGCAACACACAGAGCAAGCGTCCTCAACATGGCTCAGGCAGCAGAGCAGCGGCAAGTAAAATAGAATTAGAAAAACAGTGGTTACACCACTTAAAGAATTTAACAGATAGAGATGAAATAAAAAAAATTAAACAGGAAGCTTATGAGAAAAGAAAAGCAGAAGAAATGCAAGTGAAAAAGAAATTGATAGCATTAAAAGAAAGACAGTTAGATATAAAACAAAATATTGCTCAACGAAAGCAAGAAGAAGCTGAAGACTGGCATCGAGAGAAACTAAACATAGAAAAACAGAAATGTCGATTACTCAGAGAGCTATTAGAAACTCGTACTTTGTCTCATAGTAAGAGATTTAAGACTGGTACAGATAATTCATATGAAGATTGAAAAATGTGATAGTTGCATGCATTTCTTTATTTATTCTTTATTGTTTTTAAGTAAATTTTATTAAATTTATATAAAATCAGTTTTTCAACATTCGTTTCTACAGTCAGTTTTAGACTAATATTTAACATATATTATAGTTTCACAATGCAGTCAGATAAACATACACTATCTTAGATACATACTATTTTAAAAAACTCCAGCTTTAGCAAATTGTTTTAATTTTATTTAAATATGCTGGTTTTAATTCGCCCTTGGATAGTCTTGATTAATTTTATTTGACTGTAAATAGCAATGATATATTTTTCATTAATATTATTTTTAAAAATGCGTATAATTTAAGAAATAAATATTTTATGTTAAAAAATACTTCGTTGAAAAATGAGTACAGATATATGTGAGCGTTTTTGTTGCTCAGATTTTTATTTTTTGTTTTATAAAATGTACTTAAATTTATATTGTTCTTCGTAAGTAATATAATAAAAATATTCCTAAATAATTTAGAATAACTTTATATATTTAGATTAATATAAATTGAAACTTATTTACTATATCACTTATTACAATAAATATAATAAAAGAAGTTATATTATAAAAATGAAAATTGTTAGATATATCTCAGAGGTTAATTTTATTTATTTAATTTTATATAGAGATATTTTGTAAAGGTTAAAAATAAATGGTAGAAATAAATAAAAATACGTTTATTAAAATATATGAATATTTATTTTTTCTTGGCTTTATTTTAAAACTAAAAAGTAGAAAAATTATAAAATATGTAAATCTTTAGAACTAATCAGGAAACAGCTCGCGAAACATCTGCATTCTTCGATCTATTTCGTTTCTATGTCCATTAACATGTTGTAAATTGTAAATTTCATTATTGTCAATCGCGTCATTATCTTCAAGAAAGTCAATAATAGCATTTTCAAAGAATTCGTTTTCTTCATTTGCCTTTATAACAATGTTATGCATAATACAAATGGCTGTTATTAATTTTGGTATAAATTCAATATCAAGTAATTCTAAAAATTTTAAACGACGGAAACGTCCTTTCAAGTACCCAAACGCTCTCTCTACTACTATTCGTGTTGAAGAATGCAAGAAATTGAATTCCGATTGTTGTGCAGTTAAATGTCCGTTGTCTCTAAAAGGTGGTACAAGCCATGGTAGCGATGGATAAGCTGAATCTCCTATTATGCACATTCCATTGGGAAAAATGTTTTCCATGTCATTTTGAGCAGTATCATAGAGTAACGATCTTCTTAAAACACGTGCATCGTGCAATGAACCTGGTTCTCCACAGTAAATATTTGTAAACTTCATATCTGCGTCTACAACACCTTGTAATATGATAGAAAAAAACCTTTTCCGATTGCAATAGTCTCTAGGATGATCAACAGGCTGTCGAATTGCGATATGCGTACAGTCGATTGCTCCGATACACTTTTTTATACCTCGTTTTGCTTCGAAGTTTTGGGAAGTCATGAGGATAGTGTTATTCCCCTCTGGCCATTTTATCTCTTCGTCCAGTCTTGATAGTAACCATTCCACGATTCGACGTATTACACGAAAAATCGAAGATATAGATACATTAAATCTATCTCCCATAGTTCGTAATGGCTCAGTATTTGCAATATACCACAGAAATATAAGAAAACTCCACTCAGCAGAGATTTTACGCATACCAGAAGAATGAGATGGGATAAAACTACTTTGCCGCAGTATGTCTATATAAAAATGAATGACACATGTATTTTTACAGAATGTAAATAATATTCAAATACAATAATAATATTTAATATACCTATTTGAAGATATGCTGTATGTCGCTGTAATCTAAAGTGCTCCTTGAATGTAGCATCACTATATAAATGGACAGTATCGAGAAAGCCTTGAACTTTGCTACGTCTTTTTCCATGCATAAGAAGTTGATATAATGAAAACAATATATCATATTCAGTTTCTTCGTTTGAGGAAGATATTTCAAATTCGTCAGACGAGTTAGTGATTATCTCATTGTCGTTGAAAACATCTGAACTTGAACTCGTTAAAGTTAAACTATCAGAACTGGATGACAGATCTGCAGCCATCGCTATAATTATTTTATCTTTCTTCTTTGACATATGTATATATTATTTTTAATATATCTGTGAAACAAATAATTAAATAATAATTTAAATAATATTAAATAATAGATACATTTTGTTAATTAAATAATAATTTAAATAATATTAAATAATAGATACTACAAAATTACATAAATTATTAATATATTAATTATGTAACATTAAACGCAACATTAAATAAAATAAAATGTTAAAATACCTATTTTTTTTCTACTCGAGTTTCGTATAATGATAGAAAAGCAGTTCTGATATGGCTATCACCCATCGATATATATAATGGATTGACCATTGCCATAGGCAGGTTTCAACCCGCGGTGAAGAGAGAGATACTACATGCGAGGCCTAGTCTGTCTCTTTTGCTAGTATCTCATTGGTAACTTTGGTTCCCGCCCATCGAGGCGGGAAACAAAATTACCAATGAGATACTAGCAAAAGAGACAGACATAGGCCTCGCATGTAGTATCTCTCTCTTCACCGCGGGCTGACGCCTGTCTACACGCAATGGTCAATCCATTTTATATATCGATGCTATCACCCTCAGCATGGATTAAAAAATATCAAGATGGACATGGTTATGAAGAATCCTAACCCTCCACTCGAAAGTCGCACATTAACTTTGTTCGAATTGAGTCGTGCACATCGCTACACTTTGTGCCTTCCTGTGTATGTTTGTGTTAAGATGTGTTAAACAATTGGAAAGCACCCTATGCGGAGTAGAATATATAATAGAATCACGGATCTAAGAGCTAGAGGTGAATATAGCCCCCAAACGGATGCCGAAGTTCGCAATGGGGAATATTTGCTTCTTATCCGCCAATGGCAAATATCCCTAGATAGGCCTGGAATTTGGGACCAGAAAACCGTCTCAGCAATTCGGCCTCATTTGCATAGGCTGGTGCGTAAATTCGGCGAGATAAACTTTTATGGTGCCCAAATGCTAACTGGTCACGGTAGCTTTGGGCACTTTTTATAGAGGATAAACAAGACGGAGGTACCGGCGTGTCGTCATTGCTCTTCGGTGGATGACACATTGGAACACACAATCGCAGAATGCCCCGCGTGGGACGATTATAGATTTGAATTCATACGCAAAATAAGAATTGACTATTCTAGTAGGTTAACGCTAATTTTAATCATTGATAAAATATTAGAAAATAAGGAGAATTGGTTGGCGTTTACTAAATTTGCTTCCTATGTGTTAAAAATGAAGGAGGAGGAAGAGAGACAGCGTGAGATAGTCTCTCGATCCACATCTCCCAATTAGGGAGCACACCCTCTTAAGATAGTTTCTCGATTTATTTTATTTTGAGCTCCATGTATGCAATAGATCATTATCTAAATTAAATAAGTTCAGTTCATTACCATTCATTTTCTGTACCTTTATTTATTCATTCTACTGATCATAGTCATTCCGTTTCGTTCAGTCTTACTCCATTTTTTCACCTCGAACACTAACATCATTATCGCTGGATTGGTCGGTCGACTGGTCGAGTGATTGATTGGTTGATCACTGACTGATCATTCATTCATTTATTTAAGGATCATTATTCACTGTAATTTTCATTTCAGTTCGCTCGTCTTTACTTGGCTCTATGGGTGAGTTCTGACCCCGTCGTGCGGGGGGGGGGGTGCGCGGGGGGGATAATCCCCCCCTCGCCCACCCCCATTTGCGCGGCGGGCGGGAGGTTCCGGTATTGCCTGTGGCGCCGGAGCTTCCTTATTATCTGGTTTTGATTGCCCGATATCACTTTTGGGTTTAACGTTAATTAATGTCGGATGATGATGCGCAATGCGCAGACATTTTGGCGGTCCTTGAGAAGTAATGCGCAAGCGGTTTCCTCAGGGGTTGCTGTTGAACGTTAGGATGCCACCGGTGAGGTTCAGCGGGTAGTCAGGTCCGTGGTGGATGCATCCGACCTGGAGTCCCGCACTACTTGGAGCCCTCTTCTTATGTGAGAGGGCGAAGGGTGTCCGTCAAGACTGAGATTCCTCATCGTTAAAAAAAAAAAAAAAAAAGACTCACTCACCTGCCCAGAATTTCTAACTCAAAAGGAAATAAGGAAATACGCTGCCTTCAGGAATATTTCCTTATTGGATGCAAGAGAGATCTTTAAAGATAACAGAACTCCTCCCTCCTTCTCCTCGTCCTCTGAAGAGTTTCCAAAACTAAATTCTTCCCGCTTCACAACTCGCCCCTCGGACCTCAATCTACACGCTTCATCCCCCCCGTTTGACCACACTTCACCGCACCTCTCTTTTGCTCAAGCCGCCAAGACTTTCTCCTCTTCTAGCCTCCATTCCCCCCCCTTTGCAACCCTGTCTGTGACAAAGCTTCTTTTAAATCTTCCGCCTCTCTTCCCGCCCTTGCACCTCAATAAAAATCCCCGTCTTTCCCCTCCCACCCACAAGCCCCCTTGTCCCAACGTATCATTTCCTGCATTCCCCTCTACTTCCTCAGCTGTCCCTGTAAACCACTTTGATAATCCTCCTACTTTATCTAACTCTTCCTCTTTAAATCCCCCAATTACTCCTCACAATGCCGTCAGAATGCTCTTAAACACATTGTACGGCTCATTCTCGAATTGCTGCCTCTACTTACTTCTTCCAATTTTCCCGAATTCGTTCCCACCATTGTTCATTTTATTCGCAATCTTCCCGTTAACTCGGGCAACTCCTCCCCCCCTCCACCTATCTAGTATGGCCAACAAGACTACTTACAATAACCTTACTTTATTCCAATGGAATTGTCATGGCATATCCAACAAAAGGGATTCTCTCGTTCAAATCAGCGATCAATTTGACATTCTTGCGTTATCTGAAACATGGCTCTCCCCAGATAAAAAATTCTTTCTAAATAATTTTCATATACTACGGAAGGATGGTCCTTCCAACAAATCTGGCGGTGTCCTGCTGGCAATCAATAAATCTATTCCTTTCACAAAACTCGATTCCATATTTTCCCCAGATGGGATCCTCGAGGCGATCGCAGTCAAAATCTCTTGTCTTCACACCGATATCTTTATTATCTCCATCTATAGACATCCATCCAGTTCTCCTGCCTTTGCCTGGGAAGACCTTTTCAACTCAATTCCAACCTCTGGACAGATTATCATTACAGGAGACTTTAATGCGCATCACACCTCTTGGGGTTGTAATTGCTCTGATTCCAATGGTGTTTCCTTATTTGACTTCCCATGACTTTTTCCTTTCTTCTATCAATGATGGAACCCCCACGTACATCTTTTATTCCACCCATTCATCTTCAGTCATTGATCTTACTTTCGTCTCTTCTGGCTTGACTCCCTATTGTACCTGGAGCTCCTTCGACGACTCACTAGGCAGCGATCATATCCCATCTATAATTACTCTTAATCAACACCTGTACAATCTCGATCCTTCTTTTCTCACAAACTTCAAACCTCCAAGATCAATCGGAAACTCCTCTTTTCTACTTTCTCGCTCACTTTCCCCTCTCTCTTCAACCGCGTTGACTCAGCTTCCTCCCCAACAGAAAAATACGACATCTTCTGTAACTTTCTCAGAGACACAATTATCTCCTTACTCTCTGCACACAAACCTCCTACTAACTCCTCTCCCTCTCAAAGCCGTGGGAAAGCCAAATCAAACAACAGAGCTAAACCTTCTCTACTCACTCGCCCTCCTGCTCCCTGGTGGAACGAGCAATGCTCTGAAGCCGTCGAGCTTAGAAAACAAGCGCTCATTGCGTTCCGTAGATATCCTTCCAGCCCCAATTACCTCAATCTGAAGAAGCAGGAAGCACTTACCAAAAAAATCCTTCGGCATGCTAAACGCACGAATTGGAAATCTTTTTGTGAGTCCATCACTTCCTCCACCAGCATCTCCGCCTTATGGCGTATTGTAAAAAGATTCAAAAATAGATTTCTCAGTACAACTTCCTCTCTTCCTCCTCCCAACAGCGACATGCCGTCCGCAATTCTAGACTTAATCAATTCTATTTCCCCCCCCTCATGTCTTCACAAACTCCCCCTGTTTTCTTCTGACCCGTCTCCACTCTTGCCACATTTTCGACAACCCCTTTCAACCTGAAGAGCTTCATCACGTAATTTTCTCTCTTAAGAACAAGAAGTCTTCTCCTGGCTTTGATCAAATAGACTATTTCACTCTCTCCAATCTTCCCACCGAATATTTTTCCCTCTTGCTCTCAATTCTTAATGACCTTTTCTTCTCCGGAGAGTTCCCTGAGTCGTGGAGCCACTCGCTGGTCTACCTCATTCCCAAAACAACCCCAGGCAAATACCGCCCCATTTCACTCACCTCTTGCTGCCTCAAAATCCTTGAAAAGCTCATTCTCCTTAGACTAGATTGGTGGATGGAAAGATACGAAAAACTCCCCTCCACACAATTTGGCTTCCGCAAGTTTCGTTCATGCCAAGATAATCTGTCTATCCTCACCACGGAAATACACACTAGCTTCACTCGAAGTACCTCCACTGCATGCCTTTTTCTAGACCTTTCTAATGCGTTTGACGTCATTCCCTCCATCCTTATCTCAGACCTCGTCGATCTAGGCTTGCCCCCTATTTTATGCCAATTCATCTACTCACTCATTCATACTCGTAAGCTTTAGTTTGTAATTAACGGAGAAATCACTGACGTACGCTATATTTACAAAGGAGTCCCTCAAGGCTCCATACTTAGCCCCCTCCTTTTCAACATATATGTATCGAAATTAAATAAATCCATAGGGGAAGACTGTGAAATAATCCAGTTCGCGGACGACATTGCTATTTTTGTCAGCTCTCGTCACATTGATAAAGCGCTCGCGGAGTTGGAACTTTCGGCAAATAAAGCCGCCAAATATCTCGCTTCCAAAGGCCTCACTGTTTCTCCTTCGAAAACCTCTTTAATAATCTTCATCAAGAAACATATAAACCCTTTTGCCTTTTCTATTAATCTCGCAAACTCCACTGTCCATTCAACCGACTCTCACAAATTTCTCAGAATCTCCCTTGATTAACGTCTTTCTGGCAATAACTACATCCGCACTCTGTCCACCCGCTGCTCAAAGCTTCTTAAGGAGTAACACCACTCTAGCGGCCGAAAAAAAGGCCTAACTTTGACAATTTTTTGGGGGAATATAATAAAAGGAATGGGAATTTTTTTTAGAGGGTTTATTCAGCATATATTTAAGTATAGAAAAAAATTTTTTTATTATTATTTTTGTACAAAATGGCGACGAGAGAGCTAATCTTCGAAATGATCTTTTTAAAAAACGCTTCCAGTAGCGAACCAATTTCTCGTGAAATATAAGACCTAGAACAAAAAAATTTTAAATCTATATACTATTGGCTATAGAAGTACGTAGGGATTTTTTATTTAATCAAATTTTGTAGAAACGGTGCACTTTTGAAAAAAAAATTCGATTTTTTGCCAAAAAATAAGCAGTAAATTGTTTATAAAATAAAAAGTTTACATCGAATAGAAAAACCCCTACGTACTTCTATAAAGGATGTAATTGTGAAGCTACTGACAAAATTTCAAACTGATCCATGCAACCGTATTGAAGTAATGTGTTCGCTAAGATTGAAAAAAGCGGTTTCGAGAAAAACATGTTTAAAGTTTTACGAGCACTTAAAATGCTTGAAATTTATGTTTACCTTTAATCGGCGATGCCTGCACCATACATTTGGCCATCCAGATTGATGCTCGCCTCTTCTTCTTCCTTCCTGGATGATTTTAATAGCAATCGGGCCTCTTTTGCAGCATCAGTCAGCGATCGCTCCGAATACTTGATGAAGGCGCTCGTCCGTTTCGACGCAGAAATTATAACAGTTTTTCCCAATTTTCATGCCTAAATTTTGCATGAGCCTCATGACACTTGATAGGTCATAATTATATATGCCTACAGCAATATATATGGCAGTATCAAGCACATGCTTGCCACTGGAGGTCGATTTCGGAGCCATTGACCAAACTGTCGAATTGAAACTCTCGTTGCTATTTTGAGTATAGCCGCCAATGCAACGAGTAAGCAGATCGTCGCTGCTTAATTCTTCATAAATTGGTAAAATTGCTTCAAAAACTGAAGTCGAGAGAGCTGGTTTATGCTTGTAATCGACATTACCAATGGCCTGTGCCTTTTGCCACGATCACCACGAATTTTCTCCGGACGGGCATTTTTCGTGCTGCGGTTTCTCGTCGGTTGATAATTTATGGAATAGCGTCGCATAGATTTCATTCCGCATTTTTTCTACGGAATCATGATTGCGGCGTATAGCTAATCCATAATAAATTGACAATTCGTCGATCAATTTACTTGTCAACTTGCCTTTTCCTCCGAGCCCTTTTGTGTTTTTTTTTAAATTGCGAAGGCGAGTACCCATTCGCTTTTGTACGTGGTCGATGCACTCTTTCTTCATAACTGTCAAATCAGCATAAGGCTCTGAATCCATGATACCTTTGAAAATCTTAGAATCTCCGTTCCCCACGTAATTTGCATATTTTAAATTGTGCAAAGAATTTGAGCGCTGGAACATTTCTATAACGGCGTCCACCTCCATCTTTCCCTCGTGGTTAGCTTGGCATTCGTTTTCATGCGTTTCGATCCATTCCTTGTACTTCTCAGTGTCTTTTTGTTTCTCCCAAAATTCACAATATTTTGATTTTACAACAACATCAACCACTTTGCCGGTAAGCCATCCAATAAGCGATACGAATCCGAAAAGTGACGAAAAACCCCGCTTTCTCCACAAACCATCACCAGATACAGTAACACCATCTGTATTCTCTTTCTCATCACTTTTTTTCTTTTCTTCCTGAGCTGCAGTTTTCATACTGAGCTGACAAACCGTCTCTGCTCCAATAGCGATCCTTTTAACGACTCTGTCGTAGAATGATTGAAAAATTGATCGTGGGAGATCCATAAACGCGCAAAATTTCATTATTCCATTTAGGGCCGGTTTTTCAATAATAGTTTAATCTTAGATTAAAGTTTAAACTCTGTTCAGACATATTTGATTGTTTTTCAATGTATAGATTAATATAAAACCTAGTTTAAAGTTAAGATTAACTAAACGGTAAAAAATGACCGTTATATGTCGTTTAATAGATCTACAAAAATCATTACAAACAGCTTGTGCTCATTTTTAAAAACTCATTAAGTATTATATATATAACAGTGTTAAACATTTTCCATAATGTTTGATGAAGAATTTTTTGAAGTGAGTGATGAAGATGAGAATATTTTAAGATATATAAGATAGATTAGAAGAAAAGATCGTGTTGTAAGGCCGAGACCAAATCATTTCGCAATTTGGGATGAGAAAGAATTTATTACAAGATTTCGATTATCCAAAGAAACAGTACATATGATAATACAAAAAAATGAAGATACTATCAGATCACCAACTGAAAGGTATTGTTGTACAATATATTATGTAAACTAAAAATTAAGGTTATCAAAATTATTTCTAAAAAGAATGAAAATAAATTAAATATTCCAATCATATTAAATATATTTCATATATTATTACTAACTATTAATAATTATAATATGAATAATAAAAAATTATTAATTTTATTAAATAAAATTATTAAATTTATTAATTTTATCTAGGAATCAGGCTCTTTCTGCATCTGAGATGGTTTTATTAACATTAAGATTTTATGCAAGTGGATCCTTCTTGATAACTATAGGTGATTTTAATGGTATTCATAAAAGTACAGCAAGTAAAGTAATTAATAAAGTTTCAAGGGTCATTGCTCAGTTTAGCCCTTTATATATAAAATTTCCGAATACAGAGGAAGAAATTGGAAGACTTCGCCAAAAATTTTATAATATTGCAAAATTTCCACGTTGCATTGGTGCCCTTGATTGCACTCACATAAAAATTCAGTCTCCAGGTGGCAACAACAGTGAAGCATACAGAAATAGAAAAAATTTCTTTTCAATAAACGTTCAAACTATTTGTAGTCCAGATTTAAAAATATTAGATATTGTTGCTCGTTGGCCAGGATCAGCACACGATTCTACAATATTTAATAATAGTAACATAAGAGGGTACTTTGAACGAGGTGAATTTGGTGACAACCTTTTAGTTGGTGATAGCGGATATCCCGTAAAAACTTATTTAATAACACCTTTATTGAGACCTGCTAAAAATGAAGAACAACTATTTAATGAATCACAAATTCGCACCAGAAATCCAGTAGAAAGATGCTATGGAGTGTGGAAAAGAAGATTTCCTATTCTAGCGTTAGGTATCGGACTAAATTTAGATCGAGTCGAAGCTGTGATCGTAGCAACAGCTGTTCTTCATAACATAGCTTGTGAAAGAAATGAAGAAATTCCACTAACAGATACAGAAGTTGAAGCAGCAATACATGTAGTAAATAATATGCCAAATAATATAAATGGAAACACAATTACAATCAATAATTCAACTAGACTTTCTTTAATTAATGAATATTTTTCAAGACTTTAAAATTTATAATTAACATAAATAAAATTTTTTATATGCCCTTGATAATATAATAATAAATAATAAAACAAATTTTCAAAACAAAAATTATACTTATATAAATTAACGCATTAAATATTTTAGTAGTAAATAGTTTCTTATAAAAAAAAAATTTTTCTTTTTCTTTTTCTTATAAAAAAAAAATTAATAATATTAATTTTTCTTCTCCAACATATTTTTCTTATATTCAAGTTCGTATTGTAATATTTCCTTTTCCATTTTTAATTTTTCGATTTTGAGTTGATGCTCTTCTAGAAAACATTGTTTTTGAATGTCAATTAAATTTAATTTTGCTTTTCCTACTTTTGTCCATGTATCATCATCTGATGTCTTTTTAAAACGTTTATTAGATAAACTTTTTAAAGTTTCTGTAATAAATATAATAGTATAAGGATATAGAGATAAATATATAAGTACATATGTTTCATGAGTTGAAAATTTTGTAACTTTATTATTACCTGGACTTTTTTTTTCAGCGTCGCCTGTTTTTTCAGATAATACATTTAATTTTTTAGATTTGGGAGTTCTCAACATATTTGGGCAATATTTTCCCCAATCTTAAATTTTTTTACAATAGTTAATTTTACAATAGTTAATTTTACAATAGTTAATTTTTATACAAAATAAATAAAATTTAAGTACATTTAATTAATAATTATTAAAGATCATGAGATTTAATTTTTAATATTACCTTTCTTTTCATTAATATTGTCCTTGTCTACACTATTTTCATTGTCCAATGAAGTGGTGTCTTCAATAATAATTTTTATATTATTTTCACTTATCCTTTCTTGTACTTTTAAATCTTTAGTGTTTACTATGACGTAAAAAAATAATTAATTAATGAAAAATATATTAAATAATAAAAATGACGAAACACATACATTTAAAAATTTCAGATGTACTTTCATCATTTTGTATCACCAATGTAGCATCATTATCAAATTGAGATGTCATTCCTGTTAATTGAGTTCCTAACATAAATTGTATGGTCTCATCTATACTATCAAAAACAATATTTGCAGGTATTCCTCCACCAGTGCCTTTTACGTGGCATTTTAAATCAGCAAATTTCTTCTTTGCTTTCTTTTTTAAATTTTCATATTTGCGGCGTAAAGTTGGAGAATCTCTAAACGTCCCAGTAGTTGAATTAAATTCTTTGGAAATAGTTTTCCACGTTTCTTCTTTCAATATATTCGAATTTGTGTCCGTCCGCTTACATTCTAATACTTTATCATGTTTCTTAACTAATTGTACCTATGTTAAAAAATGTATAAGCACAAAAATGTATTTACACAATAGAAATAATTCTAATATAACAATAATTTAATATTGTCGACAATTCATTGATAATTATTTACCAAATCAGGTTACTTACCAAAATTTCTTCTTCGGTTTTTGTAAAATTGGGAGCACGTTTTGATGAAGCACTGCTATCGTTTGCCATATTTGTTAATTATAAATTACAGTCGTGACAAACAAATCGATAGTTTGCGAGAGAATTGAAAAAAATCAATTAATAGATGTAAAGATTGAAGCTCTGACACGTATAGTATAGACTTATTTTCAAGTTATATTTACTGCACATCGAGTTCGCGCATGTGATCAGTTGCTAACAGAAGTTTAACTAAGGTTTAATTAATCTATCCTCCTTGTACAATGGAAAAACGAATAGTATATAAAACTAAGTTTAAGGATCAAGAAACGTTTGATTAAACTTTAATAAAACTATGTTTAAGGATCAAGGATCGTTTTATTAAACTTTAGTTTAAGCTGTTATTGAAAAACCGGCCCTTAGTCCTACTCCGAGTAGCCGCATAGCAAGCACAATTCGATGATTAATATCGTATCCTTTTTCAATAAATGGAGAACTAAGAATATAAATTTTCTCACAATTTTGACACGAAATTACAATTTTAAAACCCAAGCCACGCTTTGCAGATTCGATGAATGTCACTTCAGATTTGCAATTTTTTACAAACAACAGCTTGCGATATAGCGGAGAAAACGGCTAAAAAGTTCAAAATTCGGTACCCAAATCCTTCTTCTACTTCAAATTCTTCAAGGTCCATTTGTGATAATTTGCGAGCCGATGTGCCAGCCTTCTCGAGATCCGGCATCTCCAGTTCGTAACGGTTCAACGGTCGCCGCTTTGAAATTCTCGGTCTCTTCAAATTACTAGCACTTCCCATTGTGCCTTTTTTCTCTTTATACATTTTTCTTTTACCACTCATCTTGTTTATCACTCAGAAACAACGAAATATATATACAGAAAACAGAGAAAGCAACGGAAAAATCAAAACTATGCGTATGCTTGGCGTTACATTGGCAGTTGTACTGACTCAAAAATACAATAAGTTTATTTTGGCAGTAGCGTACCCTGGTGATCTTTTGAGTAACCCTAAGCATTTTCTGCACTATAAATAACAGGGCCACTTATTATCCTGAAAGGTAAAACAGGACAAAAGCGATGAATCCGAATGCGACGCGTTAATACTCAAGGGGCGCTCCGAGGCGCTGCGGAAAAATCGTTGATAGAGCCTTTAAAAAATTTTTTTTTACTATAAAACCAAATGCATATTGTTTTTATGATGTTAAAGCATTGTTTAAAGCAAAAAAAATCGATTTTTTCAAAATCCTAGAGTGGTGTTACCCCTTAATATTCTCAATATGTTGAGGGGCACCTGGTGGGGAGGAGCGCCCTCTTCTCTCCTGAATATCTATAGAGCTTTGATAAGAGGCTCTATGGAGTATGACTGTCTTACCTTTCCTTTTAATAACCACTCTTCCATGCGTCACCTTGAAAATATCCAACTACGAGCTCTCCGCACCTGCTTAGGTCTACGCAAAACTACTCCTACGAACGTTGTTCTCACGGAAGCCGGGGAGGGCCCCTGAGATTTAGATTTGATCTTCTCACCTCTAAATATATTCTAAAAATTTTTGCTTTGGACTCCCATCCGCTCATAGACAAACTTTTGGCACTCCTCTGGTATTCACGCAGATCTCGAAAGACTAACTCCTCCGAAAAATTCCTCCTGTTCAAAGCTTTCAGCTCTCTCCTTCGCCTAAAATACTATATCTCGAAATTCGACTACCCGGCTGTTTACTCCATAGACTACAAAACTCTTATTTTCCTCCCTTCAATTATTATTACGCCTTCAATCGAAGCAGAAAGAATTAAGAACGCTTCTATTCCTCATATTACTTTCATGGAAATTTATGAGTCTCTGATTGCTTCCTGTACATGCTTCTACACCGACGCTTCCAAAAATAAATCCGATGATTATATTGGATTTGCCATATACTCCCCCTCCCCTCACTTACAGTTATTATTTAAAACTCAGCCTTATTCATCCATCTTCTCCGCAGAAGCCCTCGCCATCCTTTACACCAGGGATGCAAGATTATCTCCGCAAGCAAC